ACGAAGGAGGGGGTGCGCAGGCTCGCAACACCCCCCCAGGGGCCTGGCGAAGGGACCCTGGCCATGGAACTTTTAAGAGGTTGCCTCTTTGATGGCGGAATGCCGGAGAATTGAGACGCCTCTTTGTTCCAACGGTTCTCCATGCTGTGAGACCAAATGGACTTAGTGACGCTGACCGGGGCAAGCGTAGGAGATCGAGCGGCAGAAATGAAATGAAAGCGAGGTCAAATGACCAATTATGAACGTGAGTCAGTTTTGAAGCGTTTTGTAAAGGGAAAAAGATAGCTCCCCACCCCACCGAACGGGTAAGCCTATGTTTGACTCAGTTTATAATGTGATTAATGATGGGAAGACTTGATGTAACTAAGCTAGTAGGAGGATCTCCTCTCTTGGGTTTTTAGTCAGTAGTGGGTTCTTTACTTTATCCCGTAATTGTAGTTTCCCCTCCCTTTTCTTCTGTTATAGTTTTTGTAGTGTTATAAAAAAACAATAAAAAAATCCCCTCCGGGGGCTCAAAAAAAGAAGAAGAAGTAAGTCATGCACCGCGGGAGGGAGGGAGCGTCGTCGTGACAAGCCGTGGCCGTCCTAGGGTGGCCACCAATGCGCCCTCTAAACTGCAGTCTTGCGAGCAAAAATCCGGTGAGCTCCTGGCATTAAAGTGGTGAGTGAGCCATTTGGCCGCTGCATCAATCAGTTTGCTCTGGAGCCACATCCCTTCCTGAGCGGAGACAAAAAACGTGTGAACCGGAAACGCGATCAGACGCCCGCCCTTGCCCCGCGGTTTCCGGAAACTAGTACCTCGGAGGTACTAGTTTTTTAAGCCACATCTTCGGCGGGAAGCCTCGGGTTCGCCACGGGAGCTCTACGCTTCCCAGATGTTGCGGTGTGATCGCACCCGGAAAATCCGCCTATCTTCCATCTCTGTAGCGTGGCTAATGCTCCGTGTAACCGCAGCCATTGTCCGTCAATATTAGCCTCATCTTGTAGATAACAGGAGTGGGAGTGCTGAAGCTAGTTTCCCTAAGGTGTAGTGAACTACTGAGGCTAAAACTGAACTACCACTAGAAGCAGTTATCACTGCTGGCTTGCCTGTCACTTCTCTGGCCACCAGCAAAAGGAGAAGAGGGCCTTCCTAAAGGGGAAACAGATAACTGCCCCAAGGGCAAGGAAGCTGCTGCCACTGCTCAGTTGTTCACCCGCCCGGTCAAACAGTAACCTCTAGGAGGAGGAGGAGTAATAATTCTCATATGGCAGTGTGTGTAAGAGATCCTAAGATTATCTGGCAGCCAGAAGTTCTAGCTCTTTTAGTGTTATACACCACTAGGTGGCTAGCTGGACTTTTGTTTAAGGCAAGATATGTTTCAGTGGTGGTTTGCCACCTCCTTCCTCTGTGTCACACCCCTGGTATTCCTTTGAAGGTCACCCATCCAAATACTAGCTGGGGCCAACCCTGCTTCTGAGATCTGATGAGATCAGGCTAGCCTAGGCTACTACTGCTGCTTACATATCACCTAGCCATTTTCTTGAGGCAGTGGCTCCTAGTTGCCATACCGGCTCATGTTGGTGAACAAACACCAATAAGCAGTTGTCACTGCCTGGCCATTAGAGCAAAAGGTTAAGAGGAGCCACTGAATACTGCTGGTACATGCACCAAAAGAGGGAGATGGGCCCAATCTCCTGGACAGAATGGGATCAAGTATGACTTTGGGCCCTCCCAGAGCCTTGGCCAAAAGATGCCAGTGTGTGACACCACCCCTGGGGTTTTTGTCCCCAAAGTAAACACCAGCCTTAGAGAAAGAAAATGCAGCAGTATGTTTTCCACATCCAAAGCTCTCTTTTCCCTTAAAGCTTAGCATTGAGGAAAGGGGGGGTGATTTATTTGAATCAGCATAGACTAACAGACTATTGGTTTCTTCCAAATCGAAGTCTGAGCAACTCATTTTGAGGACAGGATTTGGATTTGAACGCAGATGTGGTATCAGTGGGTTTTTGAGGGAGCAAACCATTAATTACTCCCCACGCGCACACAGTGTCTGACACCAGTGCAGTGCCCTCAGTTGGTAAGAATTGTCTACTTCTAATCTCTGTGGGATTTTGGGGCATAGATGGAGGTGGGTGGTTGAACCTGCCCCATACTATTTTTATGCAAGTGTCAAGGAATTCTACTGTTTATGGAGGCTTTCTTTCCTATGTTGCTTGATCCACCCTTAGTTGACTAATTAACTAAAATACATTTTCAGTGCTCCTCTGAAATTTTCCATTGGAAAAACTGGAAAAATCCTCAGAAAAAAA